TTATATCATCATTTGAATATTATATCAATACTATATTATATCATTATTATATCATTATCTGCCACTTTTTTTGTCACATCTCACTATACCGCAAGGTTCGGTATAACTTTTGAAGCTTAACTTTTTTTTTTTATGACACATATGATAGTAATTTATCATACCGGACTTTTTATAACATTCTATGACTTACCACTGTTTGGTAAATGCGTAAATTGAGCTGCGAAAGTCGACGTTTATTATGGGTGGCTGATATGTTGTTGCCTTTTTTTTTGTCTAGCTTTGTATGTATTTCGCAAAACCTGGATAAAATTCATTTTCGGCAACAAAGTTGGAGTACATTTCATCTGCTTACCTGTAAATGACCAGTCTCAAAGTTCAATAACGTAACAATGGTCGACTAAAGTTGAGAGTGGAAATAAAGCGGCAAAAAGCGTTTCTGAAACAAACCCAACAATTATAGATCAATTCTAGTACCTTACTACGTCGACCCTAATCATTAAAAGACCTCTCAAGACCTTTTTTCTTATGTATAAATGGCGGTCGCCGGTTACATCCTGCAACAGCTGTTATCTAAACCTCGAAGGTTTCCTGATTCACTCCTGTCTGCTGAGTACAAGCATTTTCTAATCTTAGTTTTATGTGTGTTTAACGTGCGTATTATTCCTTCACTTTTTAAGCCTATAGTCGTAATTTAAAACTTATTCATTTCTTGGCTCTTTGAAAATTTTGTTTTTTGATATGACTTCGATTGGTGTTGTGCATAATCAAAGTTTAGAGTAGCTGAAAAAAACCTGGTCAGCTGGACGTCAGGTTATTTTTTGTTCTCAGAAAACTAATTCTCAGATGGCACATTCAAGTCGTTCCTCTTCGACAGTAGGAACTCCAGAGGTAGTCTGTTCACCGAGTCAAACTCCCTTACCTTCAAGTCACTCAAATTTTCCGCACTCCTCGCCCCATCCTCTGCCTACGGGCTTACCGAATCTGCCTGCCATTGGTGCCCCATTCACTACATTTTGCTTAGCGTCAATGCCACCTATCAAGATTCAAATAGATGGTCGGGAATATGTTTATCAGTCACAGCCAAGTAAGTAAGTTGAGTTGTGAATTGACTTCCGAAATTCTGCGTCCACTAATTCTGTTTATTCAGCTTTACTACCTGCTATTGTTACTCCAACCCCGCTAGTCTGTCCCGGCGGAATGCCTTCCGAACAGCAAGATATTAAATCTGCGGGATATGGCAACTCTTCTTCTGCGATACCAGACCGCAGGTCGGTTAATCCGACAGCCATTGTTCTAATACCACAGCAACCTAATTATTTGCCGCAGCCTTTCCAATATGTAGTTCCAAATTCTTATAATATGCCAGTACCGGTAGGGCCGTGTGATCAATATAATCCGCTACCAGCAACGGCACAGCCAACAAACGGACTGCCAGTACCTCCTCCAATTATAGGTTACCCGGGTAAAGTTTCGTCTTGCATTGTTCCGAATAAAACCTATCTTGAATTTTGTGCTGCAAAGCTCATTTTCAGCAGGTGATGGTTCTTTTGCTCCTTTCAACGACATGAATAATGATCAAAATTGTTGTAAAATACCGCACATTAAAGCTCAGGTATCTCTTCCAATAATTTTTTGATTCATAATGGAGTGACCAGTAAAAACATGAAATAGAATTGTTTAAAAAAACGACCAGCAGATGGCGTCGCGTCATAAGAAATGCACTATTTGAAATTGAGTAGAAGCGATCAGTTTAGGTGTTTTTGAAATACTTATTTCTAGGCTCAGACAGGTTACCAGGGTCCAAGGCGAAAACCGAAGATATGCAAAGGTTTTGCGAAACGAGGATACTGTACATACAGTAACTGCAAGTTCCTTCACGAAAGTAAGAAAAGTTCTTGAAAGCTTTTTAGGTACACTATCAGTGCACATGAAGTCATTCTCCAAATATTGATATGTTCACTTTTTTCTTTTCCAGCCGAAGTGCTAAACACAAGAATGTACAAAGAAAACACTCCAAGAAGCCCTGCATTACAATAAGTCTAACAACTTCTGAATTTGTCATGGGATTTTTGTTGTAACCAAGTTTTTTAACTGAACTTTCGAACAATGCGTAATGTTGAAACAGTTTGTCGGATGTGTTCTAAGCGATTGGTCTCTGATCGTCTAAGCCAATTTTCAGTTCAAACGGTCTAGAAAATATTCGAGAAATAGTTTCATCAATGTCACCCATTATTCACAGCTGAGAAATTTAGTTAAAAAATTCAATTGCAACAAATATTATTTAACAAATTCAAATAGAAGAAATTAGACGTTTGGAGAAAAACGTTGTTGCTTTTGTTGTTGTTTGTGTCGTTGCTGTTGTTACTAGTAAATCATTAACAAAAGAACCTCTAGCTGCCAAAATCGCAATCTACAGATTCTTCAGAGTAAGTCTGACTACCATTAATCTTCCCTGACCTAAGACCTAAGTCATGGAAGGTTAACGGTAGTCAGACTTACTCTGAAGAATCTGTAGATTGCGATTTTGGCAGCTAGAGGTTCTTTTGTTAATGAATTACTAATGTTGATACAGTATAGTACAAAAACCCTTGGGCTCTTTGTTAACGTCATCATATCTGTAGTTTTGTTCTATTTTAAATTTTTTTTCTCCCACTAAAAGTCATAAATCTGATTTGTATTTCGTTTTATACCTTATTCGGTGCTATTTTTCTATTTAGAC